TAAAAAACTTGAGTTAAAAAACTTAAGTTATAGTTAGTATATAAAACTTAGTTTTACATACTTGGAGCCCCCCTTTAGAAATATAATTTTGGTGGCAGAGGACTGGAGAAATGGGAGTGGAGAAATACTGCAAAGACAAAACACAGGAGCTCCCAAATCATAAAGGCAAAAGATGATGGGAGATCGCATTCAGAGCCCGGCACTGAGAACAGAGGGAGGGCAGGGACAGATAAAACCCTCAAAGGCAGAATGGACGATTGAGGCTACATGACAGAGCGAGACGGGGTGAAGATGCCAAGTTCCTGTCTAGGTGACATGTGAGTAACAAGGAGACAATCAGTTCAGTCTTAGACACGCCAAGCTGGAGGAGAGGACAGCTCATTCATGAGATTCCCAGCAATCAATTAAAACAGAACTAGATGCCACGTCAAGGCCAGAGATGGACGTCTAGGAGCATCAACAGTGGTGCTGAGCAAGCATGAGCAAAACGGAGCTTTAGGAGAGAACTGTAAGTGAAAGGAGGGCAGAGAAAAAGGAAGCAGAGATGTGGGGTGACAACTAAGGAAGCACAGTGGTAGTGCAGGTAACAGAATTTCAAAAACAAACAGATGGAGAGCAAAATAAAATCTGATAAGAAGAATCAGGACTGAAGAGGGATTTTTTACTTCTTTGTGACTTACAAGCAATCAGCTTCCTAAGTACGGTACTAACAGTAGCCAAAAGCCAGGCTTGGGGGACTTCGGGGAAAAGGGCAGCACAAACATACACCCGCAGTGAACAGACAGAGATATGACAGGAGTCTGAGGGTAAAACCAGAGCTAAGTTTTTTGTTCCTTTGGCTGTTCTTAAGATGGGAAGCTCGTTAAGCTTGTGTACCCAAGGGTCAGGGGAGACTGCTCCCCATGGCCCCCAAAAGACAATGGCAATATCTGGAGACATTTTTCATTGTCACAACAGGGCACAGGAGTAGGTGCAGGAGGGGAACAGAGGTGCTACTGATACTCAGTTGGTAGAGATCAGGGATGCTACTAAACATCCTATTCTCACAAAAAAGAATTATCTGACCTAAAAGGTCCATAGAGTCAAGGTTGACAAACTCTGCTCTAAGGGGAAGTAACGAGAAAAAGTAGAAAAAGAGAGCCTAGAGGAGACTCACCCTTAGGAAAGAGAGGGGAACATTTTCCTCAGAGACAGCAGGATAAAAAAACTGGTGAACATGGAGGAAAGATGATTTCTAGTGTAAGTGACCAAAAAAAACTGGATAATCACTAACAAAACTGCAAGTATATGAAAAAGCAAAAAGATGTGAAGTGTTTAATAGTTTTATAAATCCAGATAGTAAGAATAATTATAAATACACTTACAAGTTCTGGGTTACTGTTACTGGGGGCAAATGGGGAGGAATGTTCTCTTTGAGATGTTCCACATCTTTATAATCTTCTTCAAGAGATTCACAGAGTTCCTAAAATTAAAAAAAAAATAGGTCACAAATAAGCATCTGCCCCGCCTGTGTGTTTTAAGATGTTATAAACAGCACAAAAGACTGTGAATCAGAATCACAATAGTTGTGAGTGTTCAGAAAGCAGAAGGGGTGAAAAGTACTGAAAGCAGAAATATTAAAAAAAAAAAAAAGAGCCCTCTGGTTCCTAGAGCTGTTTTTGGATGGCGATATATTCGTTTCCTCCACTGTATTGTTTCAGAGAACAAGTGTTAGAATCCCATTACAACAAGCAGGGCTGATATTTAAGTCTTTTAAAATACTTTAACCTTGGGAAGCAATTAAAAAGTATATGGAAGATCTGTGTTTATCATTCTGGTAAAGTGCTTTTGTTGACTTAGCAAATGTTCCCCAGCGTTGTCTGTCTAACACCACCAGGGTATAATGTATTCTGGAAATGCAAAGACGCAAGGACAAGATGCTGCTTGGAACAGCTTTGGTTGCTGACATGCATATATTCCCGCCTAATGAAAATTCCTACTTGACCATAAGTGCTTTGGTTTCGTGTTGTCTTCAACTTTACCTAGAACTGGAGGCTATAAATTCATGCAAATTTAATTTTAAAAAATACTCAGCACCTTTGGATCTGTCATCTGATTCTCATTCATAATGCAAACAAAAATAAATTTTAAAAATATGAAATAAATATAAATGTTAAAAAAATAACCTTCAATTCTGAGTTGAACATTCTCTAAACCCACACCTAACCCTGGGCATTCTTGGGCAGGTTAGAAGTGAAACCAATGTTGGTTTTTGTTTTGAGTTTATATGACATCTTTCATTTAAAGAGCTGAATGATGTTCAGAGGTATTAATTTGATTTCAGCTAATAGTAGGATAGGCATAATCATGCACAGTCCTACAGCTGGAAAATCTTTACAGACATTAAGGAGTATAAGGCTGAAAGGGACCACAGAGGCCACCTTGTCCCACTGAACACATCAATGGCTCTAACAGCATGAGGTAATCATGGTACAGAGCGAGTACTTTCCCATCAGGAAGTACACAAGCACTTTTATTGGCTAAAGCCAACTAGAAGGCTTATTTAGAACAAAATGTGTGTGTGAATGAGGCTCAAATTTTTCTTTACTTGAGAATCTTTATATTACATTTTATAGAAATAGGGAAATGCAGAATAGAAGAGATATAGTTCAATGTAACATATTATTTTCCAAATGAGGACACTGAGAACCAAAGAGTAAAAATGGCCTTCTCAAGGTGACAGGGGTACCATGGGCAGCCAGGGTGAGAATCCACATCTCCCCATCCCCAAAGCAGGCGTTCCCTCCCCACCCCTCTCCCAGGATATCACATGCTTAAATTAAACCTATCAGGATTTAGGAAATCGTCCTTCTTAGTAAAGCTCAATTCTACTGGCTACCAGCATAGAGTAAGAAATAACTGTGGAACTCTGAAGTCCTTTATACCAGGAAAATTAAATGCAAATGGAAGTCTCTATCATTAATAATAACCTAACAAAGCTGAGAACATTATAAACTTGAAGTATCTTTCAGAACTCCCAGGTGATTAGGGAGTTTGTATCTATTACCCTTTTATCTTGTTTCTGCACTAGGAAGACATTACCTTGAGTGAATTGCTGGTTTGTTCTTGATACTCAATTTCCGATTCCAGTTTATTTAGAAGTTCATTTACTACAATGATCTCATCTCCTATTTTATTTAATATAGTCTTCAAGGTAGGTTCTTGACCTATTAAGAAACAAAAATAAAAATGGAAGTATACAGAAAAGCAGTAACAGACATGCACCCAACTGAACTCTTGGAACAGAGCTTTACTTTAGAGAGAGACACTGAGGGTGGAGAAAGAACTACTGTTTCAGCCCCTAGGATAATTGTCTCCGTGGATAATTTTTTTGTTGATGTTGTTAACGGAGGTACTGGGGATTGAACCCCAGACCTTGTGCACGCTAAGCATGCAATCTACCACTGAGCTATACCCTCCCGCCGCCATGGATGATCTTAAGAATTCATTTCTAAGTAGTATGAAAGAAAAGGAAGGGAGAGGTGAGTACAAAGTGTCCCCTGAATCTTTTGTTTCTGGCAAATTTTTCCACCACAATAAAACACCTGGAAATGCAGCGGGGGTGCATGGGAAGGCAGGGGGAAGAGGCTGTCTCAGCAGCTTAATGTGTCTGCTTTTAATGGGAATAAGAACCAAGGCTTTGGGACTCCAAAGCACAGGATGCTAGAAGTGAGAACCTCAAATAAGGCCAGGACCCCTCTTCACAGGCTATATCTTCAGTGAACGTGCAAACCTGAAAAATTCCAATCACTGGCCAGGGAGATAAGTTTATACTCTGGACCGGCCCTCAAGTGTGTCGGGGAGGTGGGGGGAGTAGCATGCTCTCAGACTCCCAGCCCCACCTCCCAGACCCTCTCTCTGGCTTCATAGGTACGAGGATGGGAAAATCAGTGTCCCCTCCTCCCTAGAAATAAAAGTAGCAGTAGTAAAAAAAAGATTTTTTTTTAACTTCAGCCCCCCACAGGGAGCATCCTCACTGGAAAGCTGGTGGACCGTGTGGAGGCATCTCTGAATAAACACTAGCTGACTCCCAGGCCAGCTACTCCTGAAGTTTAGCCACCCTTCCTAGGTCAAAATAAAAAAATTTTAAGGGCAGATCAAAGCACAAAAGAAAAACTATCCTCATAATCAAATCTTTCCCTCTTCACTTCTAGCAACCAATGAAATACATACAAGTAAAAATATGATTTGACCACATCTGTTGATTATGGACACAGCAGAGGGAGATGGCTAGAGGTTCCAGGTCTGAAGTCAGAGACTCCAGTACCTACCCTCAGAGGGTTACTGAGAAGATAAGTGAAAAATATATGACGGGTTTAGCACTGTGCCTGGAACCTAGTAAAGCACAACTATTATTCATCGACCTAATCTAATAGAGCAAAGCTAACTGCATTTAACAGTAGGTTCATTACAACCAAAACAAATTAATAATGAGAGTAATGATGTCTCTACTGAGATTTAACTTCACGGGGTGAAACAACTATTTGGATACACTGGTATCACAAACAACCTTCAGTCACCTAAATTGTAAGGCCTTGTTTACTGGTTTGTAATAAAATAATCAACTAAACAAATTCACTGCTTTTGAAAGCAGTGACCTAGGCAATTACAGCAGCCAAAGTGGTGAACAAATTCCTGGGCTTCCTTAAATAAGCTATGGAGACAAATTATTGTCCCCACACACAAATGATGGTTACCTAGCATGCAGTAATCTAATCAGACTGCTTCAGCCAGGCCCCATGCTTTGATGGGGTCATTTGAATTCAAGGTTTGATAGTTTTATAGATCTCTAAATTATCTCCACTTATCCAATAGTAATCATGTCCTCAAAACGAGAATCTAAACAAGGCTACTTATTAAAAATCTAGATGTCCTTTACAGATTATTCAATAAAAGTGGCACAGAAGTAGACAAAGACTAGACTGGGAAACAGGACAAGAAAACTATAGCCCCAGCAGACTACCCATGAGCTGCGGGTGACCTGGGCAGGTCATCTGACTTCTGAGTTTCCTCTTGAGTGAGATGAGGGGGCTGAGAAAATACCCCCATAGTCCCTTCAGCTTTAACTTTCTACAGAATACGTCAGCCGCAAACTGTAAAACGGACAAGGCTCTTTAAGAGTGGTTCTCAACCAAAGACAGAGCATCCAAGTCTCAGGAGGACTTGTATAATTCCAAAGGACATTCCAACATTATAATTTCATATTTGAATTTTTTTAAATTATCAATTCATAATACAAACTACAATACAAGTTCAACAGGCTCTTTCCAGCAGATGGAATTCCACCTATCAATAAATCTTTCACTCTCCTAGGCAGGGCTGGGGAGCACAACATTTTTGTAAACAATATTTTTCCAGACTTTACAAGGATCCCCTATTTCTTTGCACTTCCATTGTTTCACCTGCTTTCAACACTTCAAAACATTTTCGAAGATGGTTACAACCTCCAAGTTTCTGGATGTTGAAAAAACTGATTTCATTTTCAATTAGTTGTTTCCTAGTGATATATAGTGATAAGCTTCCTCCAAAGCAGGTTGTAAAACAGATCATGAGTTACTTCTACCTCTACGGGTCTTTTGCACTTCTGGTTGTTTGTCTTTTAGTATCTCTATTTAGCACTAGAACTATACAACCTTCAAATCTTACTATTCTGCCTTGTGTGTCTCAGAAAAACATGAGTAAATAAAGCAAATTAATAGCTGGTTCAATGTAATTTCATTTTAGTATCCTTTGCAATATTCAAAATACGGATACTGGAGTGTTCTAAAAATCACTATTTGAAACTTAAAATTATCTAAGATACATTCACTTAACCAGGCATAAGATGTCATTCAAAGTGGAATAATAATCAAAATGCATTTTGTATGTACAAAGTCAGTGGAATCTCTTTTACTTACCACAATTTCTTAATGACAGAGTTTTTTTAATATTGCCAATCTTTTCATTAATATGAGAGCATAGTTGTTCCAGATCTGAGGAGGCCATCCTTTAAGCCTCTGAAGAAAAAAATATAAACACATTCACAGAAAAAGAAAAGACAAATTTCTGTTCACTTTCAAAATCTAAGAATGGAAAATACCCAGTAAGTCATATCTCCTTTAAGAAAAGTACAAAAACTCAAGAGCAATTTCTTTCAATTCTACAAAATTCAGTTTCTAACCAGAGTCCACTACTGACTTGTCTTAGGCCTTTCTGTAATTAATGTATCCCAAACCAGGATACTGGGGATAAGCCTGCGTCATTAACTTAAGGATTTGGGGGTGAGGGGAGCACATTTTATATGTAAAGACAATATTGGTATTTTCTTAAAAAACCCAAGACATAAGGATTTCGAGGAAAATCACAGTAAGTTCAAAGAAATGGATCCAGATAGGCATTTCTCCTTTGCTTGGGGGTGGGGGGCAGGTTTTATTATTTGGGGTCGGTAAGGAGGCAGAAGTAGGGGAAGGAAAGAAATTAAAGTACTGTTTACTCCGATAAGGTGAGAAGGTCTAAAGCATCCACTCCAGCTAACCCAGCGAAGCACTGTCCAACCCTGCTCCTCCGCCCCACCCAGCGGCTCCGCGCCCCCCACCCCGACCAAGCTATGCCTTCCGGCCGCTTCCGAAGGCGGAATCCTGGACACTAGACTCCAACCTGCGCGGGTCCGGGAGCAAACGGCCCAGTGGCTGGGGTCGCGAAGCGCGGAGACCCCTCCAGTCTCGGCGGGAAGCCCAGGATCGCGAGACCTGACTCCGGGACTGAAATTCAAACTGCCCGCGCGGACTTCATTCCACGCAAGCGCACATCAGCGCTCCCGGAATGCCTTTCCTCTCCCGCACGCGTTTTTCCGGGGCCGCAGTTGGGCGGGGCCGGGGGCGGGGCTGTGTCGACTTTGTGTAGACGGCTACCGCGAGGCGTGCCCTTCCTACTCCGCGCCTTAAAGGCCGCTCAGCGGGACGAGCGCTCCAGGGATCGAATCGCGAGCTGAAACGGTGGGTCTCTAAATTAGCTGCTCACTGGAATCACCGGGGCAGCTTTTACAAATTCCAGTTCCTAAAGGTACCCCAAATCGATGAATTCAGACACTCTGGTAGTGAGGTACAAACTTTAATATTTTTTAAAACACCGCATCTCATTCCAACAAGCGGCCGAATTCCTGAGCCATAAGGCAGAGAGGCCCTGTCTTCGTGGAGTTTACAGTCTCTGTACGCTCAAATGCAAATTTAAAATGAGAAAAACAAAAGTTTAACTGTCCCTGTTGAGAAAAACAAAAAGAGGGGGAAATCATCCCAGGGCTGGTGTTGCAGTCCCACCGTCATCAAGGATCCACGTTCCTTCCATCCTTCGGCGCCACCGTCCATGGCATCCTGCATTCTGGCCTTAAGGTTGCCTGTGGTGCAAGATAACTCTGCCAGTTCCTTTCTCAGTTCTGTGAGAAAGAGGCAAGGGTAGCAGGCTCACCTACTAGCTGAGCCAGCCCCTTTAAAGAGTTTTCCTGGAAGCCACACCTAACGGCTTATATGTGCTTTCCCCTGGTCACGCACATCTGCAAGGGAAATTGGTGGGGGGGGGAGCATTAGAAATCTTTTTGACTTGGATAATGACACTGCATCCTTAACAATATAGGGCTTCTCTTTGTAAGGAGGAAAGAGAACATTCTGGGTCGGTGAATAGCTATCTAGGCTATTTCTACTCATTACTTAAAAAAATCTTTTATTATGGAAATTTTCAAACATATAAAGTTAGAATAGTACAGTGAACCTCATGTTCAACCCATCATGCATCTTCAACCACAATTAGTTTACTGCAAATGTGTTATCTATACGCCCTCTCCTCCCACCCCTTGCCTACTGGAATATTTTGAAGCAAACCTCAAACATTATGTCTTTTCATACAAAAATATTTCCATATTTTATCTCCTAAAGATAGAAACTCCTTAAAAAATCACCATGTTGGTATTATCACACATAAATATTTTAACAATTTTTCCTGAATAACAAATATCTAGTCAATGTTCAACCTCCCCTGAAATTGTGTCATGAAGTGTTTATTTTTAAAACCGTTGATTTGTTTGAATTAGAATGCAAACAAGATTTACACATTGTTATTTGATTGATGCATTTCTTAAATCTCTTTTAATCTCTACACACTTAGTTTAATTAATTTATATTTTTAGGGGGGTAATTAGTTTCATTGATTTACTTATTTTTAATGGCAGTACTGGGGATTAAACCCAGGACCTCATATATGCTAAGCACACACTCTGCCACTGAGCTATACCCTCCCTCAACACTTACTTATTTAGAGCTAATTCCTTAACGGGAACAAAGCTTTTCATTGTAGGACTAAATGTAAGGCTTTAAATGTCAATATTTTATGAAAAATAACATAATAACTGAAATTCACCCTGCAGCATCAAGGACAAACATCATCAGATTATTATCCATGAGAAAATAAACAGGAAGAAGAACATATAAAGGCACTGAATACAAGAGGAGAGGGGGAAATGTGGAAAAATATAGAAATGAGCAATTAAATCACGCTGCCTGCTTATTTTTCTGGGACTGATTTCTTTGGCAGGACTCCTTCAATTGCAATGATAGAAACTCGATCCAAACTGACTAAGCAAAAAAAAAAAAGACTTTATTTGGCTTATAAAACTGTAAAGTGTGTGTATGTGTGTTCAGTTACAGCTGAACCCAGTTACTCAAACATATTATCAGGAAGGCATCTCCATCTCTCAGTTACTTGTGCCTCTGTGTTGGTTCCATTCTCAGGCGGGCTTTTCCTTCTGGTATCTCAGACTTATACCCTTATAGGTTAGAGTTCTCCATTTCCTAAGAGTTCTAGCAAAAGTCCCAGGATTGCACCTCATCAGCCTGACTTGGGTCATCTGCTCACTCCTGAATCAATCAGCCTTTTTGGATGGGGTGAAATGGCCTGATTCACTAGACAGCCAGGAGCTGGGAACCAGGACAGCCCTACCCTACACAAAGCATGGAGTCTGAGCGTAGGACAGAGGTGGTTTCTTAAGGAAAATCTAGCTGCTTTTATGAGACGGTAGGGACAGGGAGATGTAAAAACAAAACAAACACAAAAACCTGTCTTCTTAAGGGTTAAGACCTTCTGGAAGTTCTTTTCTTTAAGAAAAACTTAGCAGTAAAAAAGGAAAACTCGGTTAGAATGCATTTATTCTCCTGGTGCCTTGATCTTGGACTTCTCAGTCTCCAGAACTGTGAGAAATAAATTTCTGTTGTTTATAACCTAGTTGATGGTATTCTATTACAGCAGCTCAAATAAGGCAGAAGTGTTTTCTCTTCCATTTTTTGGAAGCGTTGGAGAATAATTAGCATTAATTCTTTTTAAAATGTGGTAAAATTTACCAGTGAAACCATCTGATCATGGACTTTTCTTTGTTGGGAGATTTTTTTATAAGAATCTTCAACCTGGGAGATGTGTTTCTTTGTGTGGTAAAATACACCTAACATAAAAGTTACCATTTTAACTATTTTTAAGTGTACAGTTCAGTGGCATTAAGTACATCCACATTCTTCTGTGACCATTGTCACTACCCATATCCAGAACTTTTTCATCTTCCCAGCCTGAAGCTGTATCAATAATCCCCCATTCCCCTCTTCCTCAACTGCTGGCAACCACTTAGGAGATTTTTGATTATTCATTCCACTTCTTCAGTTATATAGGTCTTTTTAGATTTTCTATTTCTTATTAAGACAGTTTTGGTAATTTTTATGTTTCTAAATATTCATCCATTTCATTTACGTTATCTAATTTGTTGGTGTTCAGTGGTTCATAGTACTCTTTCACAATCCTTTTTCTTTCTACAAGATTAGAAGCTCTCAACTTTCATTTCTAATTTAGTTATTTGTGTTCTCTCTCTCTCTCTCTCAGTTCTGTCAATTTTGTTGATCTTTTCTAAAAACTTTTATTTTTGTTGATTTTCTGTATTATTTTTCTATTTTTTATTTCATTATTTCCACTGTAATCTTGATGATATCCTTCCTTCTGCTAACTTTGGGTTTAGATTGCTCTTCCTTTTTTAGTACATTAAAGCATAAAGGTAAGTTTTTGATTTGAGATCTTTTTTTTAATGTGGGTGTTTATAGCTATAAATTTTTCTCTGAGGACTACTTTTGTTGCTGTAAGTTTTAGTATTTTGTGTTTTTATTGTCACCTTACTTAAGGAGGAACAAGGATAAGCATTCAATTGGACTTCTCTTCAGAAACTGTGCAAGCAAGAAGAGAGTGGAGTGAAATATTTAAAGTGTTAAAAGAACAAAAATCACCAATCTAGAATTTTGTATTTAGTGAAATTGTAGTTCAATGTGAAGGAGAAATGAAGACTTTCTCAGATGAGCAAAAGTTGAGGAAATTTGTTGCCAGGGAGACTTTTCTTGAAAGAAATGATAAAGGAAGTTCTTCAGAGAGAAAAAGGGAAAGATATAGGGTAGAAATTAGAAAAAGTATAAATGAGAGTAAAATAAAATCTTCTATTTTTCTTATTGAAGTATAGTTGACTTACAATGTTGTGTGAGTATTTTTCTTATTTTTAATTGACCTAACAGATAACAGTTTGTTCAAAATAATAATAATAGCAAAAATATACTTGGTAATTATAGCTTCTTGGTAAGTGAAATGAATGATAACAATGTTATAAAGAATGGGGAAGAATTAGGAATATTTTGTTATTATAATGTACTTGGTACTACCCATGAAGTAGTAATGTGTTATGAGAAAGTAACGTGGATTAGTTGTAAATGTATATTGCAAACTCTAGAGCAACCACTAAAAGTTTTTTAAAAAGATGAATAATTGATATGCTAACAGAGAGGAGAAAATATGGTCATAGAAAATTCTCAGTTAAAACCAGAGATAGCAGAAAAAGAGTGGAAGAAAAAAAGACGCAGGTCAACAATACAAAACAGTAACAAATACAGTGGATATTAGTCCAACTATATCAATAGTCACTGTAAATGTCAATAATCTAAATATGCCAATTAAAAGACATTGTTAGAATAAGTGGAAAATCAAGATCCAGTTACATGTGTCTATAAAAAAAACCCACATTAAGTGTAAGAAAATAGATTAAAGTAAAGGAATGAGGGAGGGAGGGTATACCTCAAGTAGTAGAGCAAATGCTTAGCATGCACAAGGCCCTGGGTTCAATCCCCAGTACCTCCACTAAGATAAATAAATAAATAGCATAATACCCCCCAAAATATGCTCATAGACCACAATAAAATTAAGGTAGAACTCACTAACAGAAAGATAGCTGGAAAATCCCCAAATAATTGGAGATTAAACATCACATTTCTACATAACATGTGCCAAAGAAGTCACAAAAGAAAGTAAAAGTATTTTTGAACAAAAATGCATAAATCAAAATTCTCAATTGAGTAAAACATATTGGAGAAAACGATTTATAAAAAGTATTATCTACATTGAGAATTTTTCTTTGTGATTTATACCAATGCTCAATAAGTAGAGGAACTCGTGGAATGAAAGATTTCCATTATTATCAGAAAAATAATAAAAATCCATTGAGTCCTAACTCATATTTGTCAATGGAGGGTGGCAGCTTTTTAGACATGAAAAGAAAGTTTTCAGTATTGCTTTAGAGGTGAACATTTAATGCATACAGTATCTATGTGTGAAAAGACGTAAATGAATAGAAACAAACTGACATAAGAGAGGGTGAGGAGACAGGACCATAGTGAGAAGGGAGCTGGGGACCAGAGGGGAAGAGATTTGCTAACTTCACAGAAAGTAGTAACAAAGAAGAGCCTGGGGGTATGTGGGGGGTCCCAGAGGTTGCCTAGCAATGAGAGGAGCGAGAAAAGAGAGGCTGGTGGAGTCTCCATCCATCAACAGGACATTTTCAAACATAATTTCACCAGGCATTAGGAGAGAGTGAACTTGAAGGAAACAGTCAAGAAAACACAAGAGTTTTTAAGTAAAATATAGGTTGTCATACTTGATCAACCTAATTCCATAGGGATGGCCAATTTTTTCAGCCAGATTTGCTGGCTTCCTTCCATCTCTACCTCCCAGTCTGCCATATAAAGTGAATTAAATCTCACCCAATTATGAGAGAGCAGATTGCAGGGCCCTTTGTCTCCTTCCAGGTCAGGAGGAGATCAGATTCCCACATTTCTCCTCCAGAGCCATCACACATCCTCCCCATTTCAAGACAGAGAAACCACCTAAAATGAGTTTGCAGAGTGCCTGTGGGTGCCAAGTATACACTCAATGACTAAACTGCACATTTATCATTAAGCACACCTGGTTGTCCTCCATGGTCATTGGATGAAGTACTTCAGATCTGCAATTCTTATTTTTATGGATTTATACAAGAAGAAAAGGCTTTCTGTGATGTTTCTTGGATTGCTCACAGTGATGGTTAATCTCGTGTAGCAGGGCTTGGATGGTGGAGCCAGATTCCCTCTCTCCTCATCCTCAAGGTCCACAGGACAGTGTGGACTATGAGGAATACTGCAGCCAGAGGATTCCCCAGGAAACGGCTGCTCCAGGTGGTCTCAGGCAAACTGACTGAGGAGACTGATGACACTGGGAACAAGCAGGGCTTTCTCAGTTTTATGGTCCATTGTGTCATGGTCCCCTGAGGCCCTCGATGCCTTTCCTGGCTTCTGGGAGATCAACCCCATTTTCACCTGGGAACAAGAGAACCAAAGTGGAAATCACCAGGAATGGGCAAAAACTACACTCTGGTGGTGGCAAGTGTTAGCTAGGCAGCAGTAGGGAAAGGATAGGGTTAAGCCAAAGTGTGCTTTGTTTTCCAGAAACTAACCATTAAATTGCAGAAAGTTCCTTCCAGACACCGGATGTTCTGAAAATGTTACACACAGTGCATTCCGACCAACAAGATACCACAGTGAGAACAAGTAACCAAGCACCTACTTGCTTGCAGTTTGGGGCAACCTAGAGTAACCTTTGCCTCATTATAATGATCATGCGTATCACCAGGTTTAAAACTCCCCCAGTCCAGCCATTCAGGGAGACAGTGCTTTGAGAGTTATCTCCTTTTCTTCTTACTTGTCACAAGTAATAAGAGCTTCTGCTTTAATGAAAAATTCTTGGTGTGTTCATTGGCTAAGCACCCTAAGGGACAGACCCATTGCATCCGGTCACACAGGGTCAGTGGAAGTCTTGGTGAAGCTGGTTGTCCTCCATTTCAAAATCTACTTTGGTCCAGCCATTCTCACCAGAGATGGTCAGGTCACCATCATTTGTGGCCTTCCATCCTTGCTCTGGACTAATTCTGAGGGATGGAAGTGCTACTGTAAAGGCCCAGAGGCTGAAAAGTGTTAGGCCTGGCTAAGGAACTGCTCAGAGGTATGACAGCTGGAAAGAGTGGTGGGATGTACCAATACAAATAATTTTTTCCAATTTATACTAAGGAATAGAAGAGTGTCTTATTTGAGCCACGCTGAGGACTGGCCAGGGAGTGCAGCCTCCACCAAGGAAGAAAGCACTCCAGAGCATGACTTTCAGCACAGTTTTTGTCCTTGTTAGAACAAAGAACAGGCATTAAACATGACAAGGTTTCAACAGAGATGTATAGTTACAAATTGGCATGGACACATTGAGTGAGCATGACCTTGGCAGGGTTATGCTCACTCTGGGACAGGAACCTTATCTTCCAAGGAGTACTAGCAATGGTGTCAGAGGAAGAGAGGCATTTCTCCCTATTGTAAAAGTGGACATTCTTTACTGGAATGGTTAAAGCAGATTTATGTTTGACAGGCCGTAAGTCAGGCTGTTTTGTTCATGTAAAATTCAGAACAAATCACGTATCAGCCAGAAGGGCTTTCCCAGTCCCTAATATGTGAAAATTTCTCCCACCAGAGGTGATGTGGGAGATGTGGTAGCTGATAGAGACCCCTAAATTAGGAGGCCCACCAAAGTGTGGGTCCTTGGCTGCTGGCTGGAAAGAATTCATAGCTGAGGCAGAGGAATAGAGCAAAAATGGATTTTATTTCTCAAAAGACGAAAGGAAGGAAAGTGCTCAAGCAAGGAGAAGGAAAGAAAACCACTGGAGTGAAGAAAAGGCACTTAAGAGGGGAGCTGTCAGCCAAGACGGCTGGTAGACACAGTTTCCGCCTGGGTCGGGCCACGTGGACCTTTAAGGGCGGCTTCTGCCATCACGTCCTCCTTCCAGGCATGATGGAACCAATCAGTTCTTGTTTGAGTTTTTCAGCCTTTGTATGGGCTTTTCCAATTGGTGTCATGGCAATCGTCAACTGTCATGGTGAGACAAGAGGGAAGGGGACTGGGCACAGCCATTCAAGGAATGACACAGCAATGAACACCGAAATGGCAGAAAATTCAACTCCCAGTAGGCCTTGAGGCTCAAGATGGTGGGAGATTTGACTTCTAGTAGCTCTTGAGCTTCATTATAAGCTCATTGTAATATATTACCATGGTAAATGACACTCCCACAGGTGCCATGACAGTTTCAAAGCTAACTATAAAAGGTCAAAGAGTGAGCAGTGGCCAAATTCCTGGAATTCCTGGCCCCTTCCCCAGGGTAGTTGAAATAGTCCTCCTGCTTGTTGACATTTGAAGCTACCAAGCCCATAAAAACTGGCAACACTGCCCCTCACAGCCTCTCTCTTTCCCTAATCTTCAGAGATGGCCTGCACTCTTGTCTATGGAATGTATATCTAGTTTTACTTTAACCTGAGCACCCAACCCCTACACCTCATGGCCTTTCTCTTGCCCTCTGAAACAGCCTACACTTGATGTAATATGTATCAATCTCAATAAATCTACCTTTACTCAACTATGGCTCGCTCTTGAATTCTTTCCTGCACAAAGCCAAGGACCCACACTTGGCAGGGCTTATCCAAGGGACTCAACCAAGACCGGGAACACGTCACTCCTCACACTCCACATCCGTTTTTCTTGTATCAGTGGCATTGGTGGGTGTGTCATTTAGCATACTAATACATTATAATGATTGTATAAGTCTCAAAGTCCACTGGAAGGCAGATCCTCCACCATCTTGGCCTCATTGGGTTCTAAGTAGTTCTTGTTTCTTCTCTGCAGCTGCCTCCTGAGACTTAGACTTCTAAGAGTTAATCAGTTTCTGTTTGAGGGAGGGGCAGGGGGAAGATCCTGGGGCCAACAGCCTTGGTAACAAAAAGGAAAGGTGCTTTTAACCAGAATGCCTGCAATCTAGTGAACCTAGCATCCCCCATCCTCCTCCCCAAAACCTCCAAAAATTCTATTCAGTCATTAAAGTTTTAAAGGGAATTAAAGGAATAACCTCAGTTAATCATTGAGATAGGTGGTCAGAGTCGTTTCCACCCTCCAATGCCTACAGGTTTGTCCTAATCAATTGCTTTACCCTGCTCTTCTAAGACTTAGAGAAGCCAAGGAGACCTCCGCTTTTCTGTAAATAAAAAGCAGGGGTTGGGGTAGGGGGGGGCGGTCCCTCCAGGGTCCTGCTGCCTCCCAGGCATAACGGAGACTGGTTTCCTTCCCAGTATATGGCACACAGTATGCAGGTACCCATTAGTACATGTGGAAGGTAAAAGTGACTGAATGAAAGAATAAGTGTTATTCTATCCAAGTAGTGTTTCCAAGGTGGGCCCCTTTCCCTGTGAACCTCCAGGCAGTACCAGCTGCTGGCGCAGGGAATCCATCACCAAGATGGCGGCGCCCTCGAGGAAGCGGATTAGGACGGAGCCATGCGTTGCCTGTGAATTTACAGACTCGGCCATCTTACGGAATCGGATTCCAAGATGGCGGCGTCCACATGGAAGTCGCGCAGCAGGCGCGACCATATTGCCTAAACGTTTAGGCCGTACAAGCAGTCGCTGTACGGACTCGACCGACAAGGTGGCGGCGCCCTCGGGTAAGCAGAGAGATAGGTGCGGCCATGTTTCCTGAGAACGTACTGGACTCCGCCTCCATACGGGCCCTGTAGTTAAGATGGCAGGGCCTGAGAAACAGTCGGGACCCCTAGGCGGGCAACCTACTTGTTTGTTTCGGAGCCCACGCACTGGGCCTGCGCAGTAGGAGCACGGTGCCTGGGAGGCGCGGCGAAAACCGGAAGTGCTTGTAGGCGTCTCTGCAACGGCCGCGGACGCCGCCGAGTGGTCTGTGCCGGTTCGCGGGTCGCTGGCGGGGTTTGTGAGGGGGTGCGCCGGGAGCGGAGAGATGGTGAGTACGAGGTCCCAGGATGGGGTCGGCGGCAGAAGTGAGTGGGTAGGGCTGGAAATGGTGGGGTCCATCGGCAGACGCAGGGAGTCTGCGGTGACTCGTAGCGAGAGTCCGTGGGCAGCATGGGGCTGGGGGCCTGTGGTGAGCCTTAACTGGAATCTGCGTGTAGAATGATGGGGGTCTGATGGTCAGATATTTTCACTCCTGTGTGAACCACTTGGGAGTTCTGTGATGAGCCATTACGGGGGTCCGTAATGGAAGTTTAGTGGGGATCCCTGACAGTAGTTCTGTGGGGGTCCGGACGCGGGATTCTTCGTGCAGAGAGGTAAGGGCTTTGCAAAGAGTTGTGCTAGGCAGTCTGTAGTGAGCCGTGATGAGTCTGTATCAGGGGACCCAGGGGGCGGGGCTGTCTGCGAGGTTAATAACGGGGAATCTGTGGGGAGCTGTGGTGGGAAGTCTGGAATAGATCAGGTGGTGTCTGTGAGAACCCGTGACAGGGGTCTGTGAGGAGCCATGACGGGGGCCAAGTGTGGTGAGTGGTAAGGTGTTTGTAAAGAGCCATTATGAGTGGGTGAATAGAATGATGAGGTGTCAGTGGGATAAGGGATTGGAAGGTCTGGGGCAGAGTGACGGGGGCTTATAAGCAGAGTAATGGGGTGTCAGGTGTAAGTGATGGTGGGTGGTCTGTGGGGAGATTTCTGAGGAGCCACGAGGGGAAGTCTGTTGGCAGTGTTTGGGTCTATGGTGAGCTGCGATGGAGCTGTACTGGAGAGATGAGGTGCTGTGATGGGTCTCTCTAAGGAGCCATAATGGGGGGATCCCACAGGAGGGGGATGCTTCAGACCCAGAGCCTCCAGATGCTGGGGAGGACAGCAAGTCAGAGAACGGGGAGAATGCACCCATCTACTGCATCTGCCGCAAACCAGACATCAACTGCTTCATGATGTGAGCCGGGGAGAGGTGGGCGGGACTGACACCTGTCAAGATTGGGTGAGGCCAGTGGGTCTGGCCCCTCACATCTCCATCACTCGCCCTATCCTCTGCAGCGGGTGTGACAACTGCAATGAGTGGTTTCATGGGGACTGCATCCGGATCACTGAGAAGATGGCCAAGGCCATCCGGGAGTGGTACTGTCGGGAGTGCCGAGGTGAGGGGGTGGACTGGACAGAGCAGGCAGGTGGGGCTTCGAGGGAGGAGTGGGAGCCTTAATGCGAGGGTCGGTCACAGGGAGTAGTGAACTGTGTCTGTGGACAGAGTGGTTGTTGGTCCATGGTGAACTGGAGTGGAGGCTCCACTGTGAGCCATGATAGAAGATCCCACTGGAACAGGTAGCTCTGTCTTGGAGGAAGGAGACAGAGCAGGTGGATGGGACAGGGAAGGAGACAAGAGGAAGAAAGAGTTCTGGGACCATCCAAATCCCCCACTGCCAACCCACACTGGCTCTACCCTCTGCTCCACAGAGAAAGACCCCAAGCTGGAGATCCGCTATCGGCACAAGAAGTCACGGGAGCGAGACAGCAATGAGCGAGACAGCAGTGAGCCCCGGGATGAGGGTGGAGGGCGCAAGAGGCCTGCCCCGGATCCGGACCTGCAGCGCCGGGCAGGGTCAGGGACAGGGGTTGGGGCCCTGCTTGCTCGGGGCTCTGCTTCGCCCCACAAATCCTCTCCACAGCCCTTGGTGGCCACGCCCAGCCAGGTGAGGAGCTGTGATGGCTGGGATGGGTGAGGTGATCCTGCATTGGGCCCTGCTAGGGTTCCTGATTTCTGTTCTGGGCGCCTCCCCTTAGCATCACCAGCAGCAACAGCAGCAACAGCAGCAGCAGATCAAAAGGTCAGCCCGCATGTGTGGCGAGTGTGAGGCCTGCCGGCGCACTGAGGACTGTGGCCACTGTGACTTCTGTCGGGACATGAAAAAGTTTGGGGGCCCCAACAAGATCCGGCAGAAGTGCCGGCTGCGTCAGTGCCAGCTTCGGGCCCGGGTGAGCATGGGCAGAGCTGGGCCGGGTCAGGTCGGGGGGCTAGTGTGTCCAGGAAGAGCTGATTGAGGCAAGGGTGGGTGGGCTGGGTGGGGAGGGGCCTAACTGCATACAGACAGGTGGGAAGGAGCCTGGCCTGTCCAGAGAACAGGGCATGACCAGATGTGCTGGGCTAGCAGGGGAGCCCCCCAGCCTCAGGTGGGCAGGCATGTGAGGGCCGAGAGGCAGGGCTGAGGATGTCTTGGTGATGAGGTGTGTGGAGGGCAGATGTGTCTGGGAGGTGAGGCAGGGCTAGTTGGTGGTGTCAGGCACTTGTGGGAAGGGTAGGGCCACCCTCCATCCACCTGGGGCTGACCTGGGCCTTCCTCCTGCCGGCACAGGAATCGTACAAGTACTTCCCTTCCTCGGTGAGTCCAGCCCCCCAGGGCGGGCGGGGCATGCGGGCAGGGCGGTCAGGGCCAGTCCTGAGATTCTGCCCCGCAGCTCTCGCCGGTGACGCCCTCAGAGTCCCTGCCAAGGCCTCGCCGACCACTGCCCACCCAGCAGCAGCCACAGCCATCACAGAAGCTGGGGCGCCTCCGCGAGGACGAGGGGGCAGTGGCATCGTCAGCAGTCAAGGAGCCACCGGAGGCTACAGCTACGCCTGAGCCCCTCTCAGACGAGGACCTCCCACTGGACCCTGACCTGTATCAGGACTTCTGTGCAGGGGCCTTTGATGACCATGGCCTGGTGAGCAGGCAGAGCGTCCCATGGTGGAAGGGTAGAGAGTGTCCGTAATGAGGAGAGAGGAGGCAGAGGGTATGGAAGGCTGTTCTGGGGACTGAGTGGGTGGCGAGGAAGTCACGAGGCGGGCAGGTGAATCAGCATGTGCCTCACTTGCAGCCCTGGATGAGCGACACGGAGGAGTCCCCATTCCTGGACCCAGCACTGCGCAAGCGCGCAGTGAAAGTGAAGCACGTGAAGCGTAGGGAGAAGAAGTCTGAGAAGAAGGTGATGGAGAGGGTAGAGTGGGTGTGGGCGGGGAGACCTGAAGGTCAGGGGCTGGAGGACAAGAACCAGGAAGGGGTAGGGTGCAGGGGAAGGTGGGGTCCGGGCTGACTCCAGCTCCGCCCTGACCTGACCTGTGTTGTCCTATAGAAGGAAGAAAGATACAAGCGGCATCGGCAGAAGCAGAAACACAAGGACAAATGGAAGCACCCAGAGCGCTCCGATGCCAAGGACCCCGCGTCGCTACCGCAGTGCCTGGGGCCTGGCTGTGTGCGCCCTGCCCAGCCCGGCTCCAAGTATTGCTCAGACGACTGTGGCATGAAGCTGGCAGCCAAGTGAGTCACTCCTGGAGGGTTCAAGAGAGTCAGGGGGTGCAGGGTAGGGCATGACCAGAGCCCTCTGTTGGCCAGTCCATCACCCGGCCACCACTCAGTCAACCAGGGGCTCACCCATCCATCCACCCCCTCATTGGTCCATCCGACCGTCCACCCAGCCGTCTCCTATTCAGTTCCTCGTCTGCTTAGCCGTCTCCCACTCAGTCCCCTGTTTACTTATCCTTTCACCATGTAGTCAGCCAGCCATTCCACATCCTGAGACCACCCCACTTACTGACCTTGTTGCTTGCCACATTCCCTGCCTGCGTCCCGTTCCCGGCCTCCCTGCAGCCGCATCTACGAGATCCTCCCCCAGCGCATCCAGCAGTGGCAGCAGAGCCCCTGCATTGCTGAGGAGCACGGTAAGAAGCTCCTCGAACGCATTCGCCGGGAGCAGCAGAGCGCCCGCACCCGCCTTCAGGAAATGGAGCGCCGGTTCCACGAGCTGGAGGCCATTATCCTCCGTGCCAAGCAGCAGGCGGTGCGCGAGGACGAGGAGGTAAGCTAGCAGAGGCACGGCAGCACGGGGCCCGGTCCCCGGCCCTGCCTGGCCTCATCATCTCTTCTACCCTGTGCAGAGCAATGAGGGTGACAGTGATGACACAGACCTGCAGATCTTCTGCGTCTCCTGCGGGCACCCCATCAACCCACGTGTTGCCTTGCGTCACATGGAGCGCTGCTATGCCAAGGTCAGGGTGTCAGCCTGAGGGGGTGGCTGGTATGGGACCGTCACTGGGTCCGTGGGGGAAAGATGTGCTGTCTCGAGGGGGCGTGCGGCGCACATCCACAGTTCCCTCCGTTTGTGCTCACCCCTCCAGTACGAGAGCCAGACGTCCTTTGGGTCCATGTACCCCACACGCATCGAGGGGTGAGTGTGGGCACTGCTTGGGGTTCCCATGGGGCAGTTAAGGCTGGGGTCAGAGGTGGAATGCCAGGTGGGATACTGGCCTGGGCGAGCCAGGTGGGCCCTCCTTCTCATCTCCACTATCTTTTCTGCTCCAAACCCTGCAGGGCCACGCGACTCTTCTGCGATGTTTACAATCCTCAGAGCAAGACGTACTGTAAGCGGCTCCAGGTGCTGTGCCCCGAGCACTCACGGGACCCCAAAGTAAGATTTCCCTTCAACTCTCCCTATTCTGTCCCCCTCCCTCCTACCTGCCCAACGTTCATCCCTTCACCCCTTCCCCCCGCCTTTTCCTACTTGCCCACTTCCACAACTGCCGCTTTCCCTGCCTCTTCACCCTTCAGTTCTTTTTCTCCCTGTGGCATCACCTCCTCTTCCTCCCTTTCCCTGCCTCTTCATCCTCTCTCACTCCCCTTTTCCTTTCCTTTCCGCTCTCCGCTGAATTTTCCATCCTTCTCCCTGACTGTCCGCATTCCTGTCCTCCTTCCTGCCTCACCACCCTCCACTTGTCCCCATCCCTGTCTCCCTGCAGGTGCCAGCTGACGAGGTTTGCGGGTGCCCCCTGGTCCGTGACGTCTTTGAGCTCACGGGTGACTTCTGCCGCCTGCCCAAGCGCCAGTGCAACCGGCATTACTGCTGGGAGAAGCTGCGGCGGGCCGAGGTGGACCTGGAGCGCGTGCGCGTGGTAGGTCCTGATGCTGGCCATGGCTGGGCTCGGGGAGCGCTTCCAGAGCCCCCCTCATGGCTCCTTCTGCCCCCTGCAGTGGTACAAGCTGGACGAGCTGTTTGAGCAGGAGCGCAACGTCCGCACAGCCATGACAAACCGGGCGGGCTTACTGGCCCTGATGCTGCACCAGACCATCCAGCATGACCCGCTCACAACTGACCTGCGCTCCAGTGCCGACCGCTGAGCCCCAGTGGCCCAGACGTCTTCACGGCCTTCACTCCAGACGGGAGCTGCCCTAGCTCCCTCGTTTGTCTGTTCTGCCATTCATGTTTCTCCAATGGTCCCTGTGTTTCTCCCTGTGGCCGTCCACCATTTGACTGCCTGTCTGGCCCTCTGTCTCTCCATTCTCTGTGCCTGGGTGGGACTGTGGAGTCTGCTCACCCTTGCCTCCCCCAACTCTGGTTTTGTTAATAAAATTTTGATGAACCAAAAAAGATAGCTGTCAATGGTCTCCAAACTTTATTCAGTTACGACTGCATTTCCCACACCCCTGGAGTAGAGTGGCATGCCTGTACCAGGAAGGGCGGGGGTGCAGGTGCAGGCTGCAGGTGTAGAGTTGGCACCCACTCTGTGCTCCACAGGCCCCCACCCCCACCTCCACACTCCTTGGAGACACGACCTGCTGAAGGAGAGCCCAATGACCTGCATTCTCAGCCTCTCGTTTTGAGACAGTGAGTATACAGTCAGCACTCATTTTGTGTGTGGCTGATTTATGCAGGAGTATTCTTATTCTTGATATTCTCCAGACCAGAGTTGTATTAAATGATGGACACAAAGCCCTCTTTTGGGACGTGTATACAGCAAGCGCCCACTGAGTTTATGTCGGGAAGCCCAGCATACCTGGTTGTCAGGTCCAGTCAGCTCCACAGCACTGCCTTTCCAGACCGGACCCACCTCCGGGGTTGCGTGGACCTGGCCTGTTCACCTGCAGAGCAGCACCACCTTCTCCCCCAGTTCCACAGAAGGAGCGCAGCCATTGCACTCTGGTAACTGTTTAGCGGAGAAGAGAGGGTGGGACACGATAGCCCTAGGGGAGATCTTATGTTTAAAGGCAGGACAAGAAAATAGCATAATATACTCCCTGCCTATATTAGGCCCTCCCTAATGGGCAATGTGCTTCTGTATTATACACTACCCAGACCTCCTCAAAGGCAGGAATGTCTGCTCAACCATAAAGATCAATGTTTTTTTGTTTTGTTTTTGCTTCTGATGTCAGCAAGGTAGCTCCTTAGGTGACAGCATTCTTAATCCATTCCTAATTCTATAAGGGGTCATGGTGACTGCCACTTGCTCCCTATGTGCAGATCTGGACTGTGTGTCTTTGGTGAACTTTATGTAAAATGTCAGTGTGTCATTTTGATGTATGATCCTTTGTTTCGAAAGTACATAACTGTGCCTTCGACTTCTAACAGGCAGAAGAGTCCTCAGAATTTTCTGGAAGACTATTTCCCCAGGTTATAATCCTCAGACTGGCTCGAATAAAATTTTGTATTTCTCCTTTAGATTGACTATTAATTAATTTTTTATCAGCATATGTCTTATCCTGTTCAATGCCTCTGGTTTAGGTGGGTATCACTGACTATTACGCAGAGGCTTGGAATTGTCAACAGTCATTTTAATAGGAGTAGCTGACACAGATATATACTGATGGGGGGTCTTTTTACAGGCTATGTATTTTACCAGTCTTTATCGACTTGTTGCATAACTGTTGCGTGTGTACTTTTAGTAGTAGAATTAAAGCAAGCAGCATTGCATGCTATGAGTAGATTGATAACCAGGAAAAGGAGAGTAATACATACAATGAAAGTAAGACTCATCTGCAAAGCAGAGTTAAAGAAAAAACAACCTAGTCCTAAAGGGAGTGAACTAGGCAGATGATTAAAAGAGTCTGTTTTTCTTAACGTCTTATAACCATTTTGCCTTTTCGAAATTTTTTTCTGGGCACGTCTGTACTTCTCCAGAGGTATTGATATAACCGCAATAAGTAATGTGAGCAATGGCATAAACACCTCCTAGTCTGGCCAGTAGAAAAGCTAAGGTAACTTTATTATCCAATGTCACTTGGGCTAAGGAATTTAGGGATGTCTGTCGCGCTACAATGCATTTTGCAGTCTCTTTGGCTCTTTGACCAAAGGAGACTGATGGATTTCTGACCATATCTCTGTTTGCATAAACTCCAGCACTAGGAATCAAGATTCTCAAAAGACTTTGCTACCAGGTATCTTGGTGTCCTAATAACATGGGTCTCTTGATTCTGTAATGGAGAGAGAAAAGAGGTCCATCTGTCTGTTTTTATATAGACAGTGGGGTAACATAACACCCCAATAAGCATAAGCCTTCTACCTGCCAGCTATTTAGACATTTACGTGCCCGTTCTTGGGAAAGTGGGTTAATCCAATACCATATATGAAGAAAAGCCTGGGGGAGTGCAAGTGATCCCTCCCAGAGTGCTCTGCTTGTTAGCCTCATCAATCAGAAGTTTTGTTAACACACTGTGAAACCACGGGTCACTTCTCTTTGCAGGCTTTCCGAGAGCCATCTATGTGGTATTTGATATAAGGGAGTGCTGGCACAACTTACTGGTGTTTTTCTCTTCAAAAGACTTTTGCTAATTAAGTAAGGGACAGAGCGAAGGGGTCCTAGGGTAAGTTGTGTTCAGTTTCTGAGGACAGAGGATAGTATCAGACAGGGGATGGACATATTAATATGTTGAAGAATTTGAACCTGAGAGGTTAAGCCAGAAGGAGGTTGGTTCAGGTAAGCAGTAACATTAGAAACATCTGAAAGTTGGTGACAGGCATTATGAGGGGCCGATGTTGCTCTTGTACTGACTGAGGAATTTGATGTCACATCCAACCGTTAGATTTCCTCAGTGATAACTTTACTAAAGAATTTTCTTTTCATTCTAAACACGGGCCAAAGTTTAGCTAGAAGTAAAACAGGAGCTCTCAGTTTCGACAGAAAGACAGACACTTGGTACACAGTACAACCGAACTAGTAGGCTGGGTCTTAGGCCTGGTCTGGACCCTTGGGTTGGCTGTCTGCTACTGTTAACGACTTCTTCCCATCCCAACCATTGGTGATGTTTGCCTTAGTCGGAGCCATGTGTCAGAAATAGGGGTCACAGTCCATTTAGGGGAAGAAGCCTTTTAAAAAAACGAAATGTATGAATCCAGGAGTTTACTCCTTTGAGCTCTGCAGCACAGGGGTTAGTTAATAATACCTGATAGGACCCTTTCCAATACAAAGAATCTTGTATTTGATGTCTCTTCCAATAGACAGTATCTCCAGGATGCAATCCATGATCCTTAAGGTCTTCATTTTCTGGGAGCTCACTGTGAAAGGAATTAATTACCAGCTTTTCATCTTCTTTAAGTGCCTTAGAGATTCCCTGACAATAATACAACATATCATCCTTAAACGATGCTGGTTGTTACATGTCCATCTGGGCACATTGGTCGCCTAGTGATTATTTCAAAAAGAATGTCTGATGCTTCCAGAAGGAGTGGCCCTAAGGCTGAGATGCACCAATGGGAGAGTTTTTGGCTATGAAAGATTAAAGGTCTCTGAGAGTTTTGTCAATTGAATTTTGATAGAGCTGTTATTCTTCATACCAGTCCGTAAAACTGGGGATGATAAATGCAGTAAACATGCCACATTATTGGCCAAATGTCATAAATAGATTTACTTATTTGTCCAGTGAAGTGAGTTCCTCTGTCACCATGCAACTCAGAAGGAATTCCCCAAACAGGAATTATCCTTTCCAATAACAATTTACCTACTGTTAAGCCATTGCTCTCCTGCAGGGAAAAACTTCAACCCAGTGTGAAAACATTACCAAGATAAATTTATATCCTTGAGATAGTAGCTTTTAGACAAAGTCCAATTGATATATCTCAAAGGGTTCCTTAGGAAGGGGACATGGCCTGTGACCCATGAAGTGGTTTTTCTTGGTTTATATTTAGGGCATAGAATATAGCAAGTATGTACCTCATGAGCCACCATGGGAGAAAGTTTCCAAAATTATTCTTTTCCCCATAAAGCCATCTTTCAGGCGCCCAATGAGTTAAGAATGCACATGCTGGAGTAACAGCCATTATGGTCTAATGTGTGAGGAGGTCAAAAATTCCCCCTTTTTGTTGCCACATCTGTTTCTCGTCTTTAGTGGTGATTTCTTGAACATGTGGAAAGAAATCTTTCACTGAGCTAGCAGGGGTCACTTTGAGCAGTGGACATTCTCAAGGATAAACAGGATGAATTTTTTTAATATTTCACTTTTTCTTTTTTAGTGGAGGTACTAGGGGTTGAACCCTGGACCTTGCACAATGCTAAGTGCACTCTACCACTGAGCTATTACTCACTCCTGAACAGGAAGAATTTTTAAAATTGTCTTTTTGGCTGTAGCATCAATGAGCTAATTTCCTGTAGCTTTCTTAGTGTCAGGCTTGGAATTCCCTGGTGTTTTAATAATTGCCAATTGTTTTGGCAGCTATATAGCATTTAATAATTCTGTAATCTTTTCCATTTTTTATAGGCTGTCCTGAAGAGGTTAAAAATCCTCATTTCCATAGTTCTCCATAGTTGTGTGCCACTCCAAAGACATAAAGACTGCCAAGAAATATATATATATATATTTGCTATCTGGTCTTTAGCTAGTTGACAAACTCTGGTTAAGACAATTAATTCGGCTTGCTGCGCTGACTGTGTTTCTGGTAAAAAAAAAGAGCTTTCAATTATGTCCACTGTGGATATTATTGCATATCCAGCTTGGTAATGTCCCTGTTCATCCTTTAAGTAGGATCCTTCTGAAACCAAATTAAATTGGCCTTGTCAATAATAGGAATTTCTTTTAAGTCATACCTGGAACGAGAAGATAATCTGTTAATAAAATAGTTGTGGTTGTTTTCTTCCTGTGGTGCTGGAGGCAACGTTGCAGGGTTAAGATTATTACACTGAACTAAGGTAATATTAGGTTCAGAAAGCAACACTACTTTGTAAGAAGCTAGTCAGCTTGCAGAACAGTGCTGAGAGTGGTGAGAGTTTAGAGGAGACTCAACTGATTTGGGGACATAAATAGTTAAGAGATTTCATTATTATTTCTTCAATAGCCTTACCTAAGAAAGCCTTTGCTGAAATAGCCCTCATACAAGGTGGAAGTCCTTTTGCTACTGAGTCTAATTACTGACTGTAATATCCTATGGGTTGATGTTGATCACCATGTTTTTGAGTAATACACCTAAAGCAGCTCCTTTATCTTCAAGTACAAAAAGGAAAAAAAATGGCAAATTATAATCGATGTGACCTAAAGCTGGTGTCTGAGTTAAGATAGAATTTAAGGTGTTTATGGCCTCTTTTCCTTTTAGCATCCGTTCAATCCAATCAGGCTGGTCGGACTTAAATAATGCATAGAAAAGTT